ACCAAAAACAAGAAAAACTGGAAAAACATACGGAAAACACAAGAAAAACCAAGATAGAGGAAAACACGCAATAAACTACAAAACGAGATAAAAACTAACTAAAAAAACTAATATTGGGGAAAAGAAAGGAAAATAACAAGGAAAAAACGCAACAAAACACGAGAGTGTCGCGCAAGACACAGATGGGCACGGGCGGACAACTGTGCGAGGTGTCTTTGAAAGCAAGTAGTTGGGATTCTTCTAGAAGATCTTGGCTGATTTTGGGAGACTTATTAAATTATGTTTCCTAGTTATTATTCCTAGTTTATTTAGATGTTTTAGGTTAATTAGCATGTGCCAAATTATTTACTTTCCTTAGGATTAGTTATTATTCCTAGTTTGTTTAGATACTTTGGGTTAATTAGCATGTGCCAAATTATTTACATTCCTTAGGACTAGTTATTATTCCTAGTTATTTAGATGTTTTGGGTTAATTAGCATGTGCCAAATAACAAGAAATCACTACTAATTTCATTTAGTTATCGGTTCAGTCAGACTGAACCTCACTATGATGAGCCAAAGTAGTAACTACTACGTACATGTGCCTGTTTATATCTTACGGGTTAAGAGTACTCAATAATTAGCCGATGTCTAGTTCATTTACGCCGTTCAATATAAAATGGATTGCTCCTCTCCGTGATCTGTTCAATATAAAATATAAAATTTGTATTAGTGCAACTAATCAGCCAAGACAGATTGTACCGTTCACACTACAACCGTTCTGATGGCTTTGTACAATTTTCATCTAAGTTGTGAACCATTTACTTATGTTTTGCAAGTCACTAATAAATGGTCTTTTGTCCATCCGTGATGAATCATTTATCTAAACGCAAAACAATAGAACACGCAAAACTTGGTTTAATCAAACATGAATTCTAATTCAACATAAACAGTGTAAAAAAACATATAAAGCCAAAACTTTCAATATATATACTAACATTCATTTGATCCACCCTATATATAGATTATGAGTCTATGATTAGTATTACAAAATAAGATTTTTTTTTCACGCTTATTTAAAAACCAATTTAAGGGCATGCTTTGTGCATTGATTTGAATACTTTACCACATTTTAATTTATTGAATAATTAAAGCATAATTATTTAATTATTTTAATGCAAGTTAAGAAAATTTGATTTTATATAACCCAAGTCAGAAGATTTGGCTCCATTAAGGCAAAAACTAAATTATTTCCCTCCATCTTAAGTTTTTAGCGATCACTATTTTTAATTAACACAAACTAAGTATAAATTACATTAATATTCACTTCTAAAATCCACCATATACCTCCACGCATACACTTTGTGCCCTTCTCTTCAGTCAGTTCTTCAATCAAGGATCAATAATTAACTCAATCTCTTATGCAATTTCACGAGAAGCATTTCACTCATTTGAATAGAAATCTCTATCTCGGATGAACAACGTGGCTTTTGCGCTTGCACTGTCTTAGAGGAGCAACATAAATTTTGTTAGAGCAAGGTACAAAAATTTAATCGGGTGTTATCTGTACTATTGTATTATTTTTAGTGTTTGAATTTTTTTTTTCATATTATCTAGGGTGCTCGAATAATTTGCATCTACTTCAAGTTATGTACATTTAATCAGTCGGAGTAGTAATATTTTTATTGTTTTAGGTTTTACTACTTTGAATATCATCATAAGGACTAATGTTAAATCTTTTTAAGGGATTATTAGATGGAAAAATATTCCGTCTAACACAAGGCATTTAAAATATGGGGGATTTTATATAGAAGCAACTGAATTTTGGGGGCAGAGGATGGAGTTGGGAGATTAATGCAATCATGAAAATAGAATTTAAATTTAATTTATTGTCCTCTCTTCATTCGTACAAAAATAATCAATCAATTTTCACATGTTTTTTAGTTTTCATCTTAACTATTCATGAATTTTTTTATCATATATGCTTTTTAGGGAGATGAAAATGTTTGAGTATGAGAGTATAAGAACGATAATAGTATAGGGGAATAAACGGAAGATGGAGGAACTCGGACTTAGATCCTTGGCTTATGAGAAAATGTATTTGAAGAAATCAGTTAATTAAGCAAGTAAAGATCAACAAAACATTAAGCCATAGCCAAGTCTCTCAAAATGATGATGAACCCACACTTGGAAAATGTTGCCATTTGGAAAAGTTATCCAAACAAGATAACGCTCAAAGGCTTTAGACAATACTAGGAGGTTGTATTCAATTGAGATTCTTAAGGACTTTTTAAAACTTTTTAAATTTGGTGACTTTTTGTGGACTTTGTAAAACTTTTATGATTTTGGTAGACTTTTTGAGACTTTAGAGAATTCTCATTAGTGACTTTTTAAGACTTTCATAATGGACTTTCTAAAACGTATTGAGACTTTTATATACTTGTAGTTATAATATTATGTTTGAATGAAATATTAATAAACATAAAATAATAACTAATATAAAGAAGAATAAATGAAAAAAGAATGTTTTATATATTAGTCCTCTAAAAATTTATGAATCAACTCATTGTTATGAAAAATGAGTTATTCACTAACAAATTGTTTAAGATTTTAGATTTATTAAATGAACAAATCAATCCAAAATTCACCTAGTCGAACTATGGAAGATACAAACATCATCGAAAAACAGTAATTGTATTTCATAAAGTTATCAATAATATTCAAAATAATTGACTATCAACAAATAAACTATTAGAAAATAAAATAATTTTATTAATATTTAAAAATAAACATATACAAATAAAAAGAGAGAATAAATAAGTTATTTGCAAGTGCAAACTATGGAAATATTTAACCTTTGAAAAATTAAATTCACAAGATAATAAAATGAAAAAATAAATGTATACATACATAAAATAACCATAATAAAAAAAATATAAAATAAAGATCACGTTAAATATACGTAATGAAAAAAAAATTATACAAGGTATCAAAATAAATGAGTAAAATAATAGAGCATGAAAGTGATATGAGATACAAAGTCGTGTTAGAAAGAAAAAAGAAAGGGTGCGTGAAAAGAGTCACATAAGTCCAGCAAAATCTCAGCAATATTGATGAGATTTCTGTTGAGACTTTCTCTTTGTAATTTTGTTAGAAAAGTCTTTAAAAATCTCACAATTTAAAAAGTCTTATAAAGTCTTCTTATTTTGAATACAAGGTGACTTATAAAGGCTCTCAGAAAGGTTTAATTGAATACCTTGAGACTTTTAAAGACTTTTTATCTTTAAAAGTCTCAATTGAATACATGTAAATTTTTCATAAGTCTCTAAAAGTTCTGATTGAATACAACAAAATTCTAAAAGTCTCTAAAAGTTGAAATTGAATACACCCCCCTAAATTTGAGATCTTGCTCAGAAAAGAGTTTCAAAATATCCGTATACTGGCATGTTTGTAAAAAAAAAATAAATATCCTTTAAAAAAAATCTTTTAATACTTAAAATTTAACTCCGTTAAAATACTTTTAATGCAGTTGTATAAATTGTCCTTAATATTATGGTATTTTGATATGCATCACCATGACTATAAATATATTTTTCTTTTTCCTTTTTATTATTTTTTTTTATCACTATCATCCTTTCATTTATTTTGTGTTATATATATTGCACTTGCATAACTATACATAAATATTTTTTTATTTATGTTACATCATTATTTTATGTAAATAAAAATGGCTATGTCCATTTGATTGAAATATCTTTATAACTGCTAATTACCTATATAACTTAAACATTTCAGCTATGATATTATGGGAAGATTAAAAAAAAAATATGTGAAAATTTTAATAATATGAAAGATTATATTTCAATTATGAAAAAAAACAAATTAATGGGATCAATATTTAAACATTTTGATAGTGATGAGATTGATTTTGATGTTCAATTTGTCATGTCATCCACCACGTAGGAGTTAAATGGACAGACTGTATTATTAATAAGACACGTCTGTATGATGTGTCTTTTTAGGGGAAAATTTTAAGTTCCGATAATAATTTCCTACTTTTGATTGGTTTTTAAGAAATACGGGACTAGTTTGAGCAACCTAATTTCAATAGGAGTAATAGTGAAACACTTCAATAGTTATGAGACTGATTTTCGTAGTTTTTTCTTATTTTAGCTCAATTATTTTAAATATACAAATGAGTCCTGGACTTTTACAAATTGAATTGTGCAATGTCAGACAAAATTATGATTCAAATAAAGGCACTTTTTAACAAATCCATTAAAAAGGAACATGAATCATCTATATAAAATACTAATTACAAATTCACGAATTTATGTTATTAAAGGTGAGTAATATCCCTATTAACATGAGTATGATAATCGGAAATTTTATTTTACTAATAAAAACATTCATATTTTAATAATCGTTTTTATTTTCATCGGCTTAAAAAAGAAACGTCATTGTTACTATTAAACTTAACAATCTTTCTCAATCTTTTAAATATACAAATGAGTCATGTTTGGCTTTTACAAATTGAATGGAGTAATGTTAATTAGAATACATTATGATTCCAAATAACAGATCGTGATCATGCAGTCTCGGATGAAAATATTATTACTTGGCTAATCTCGGATGATGAGCCGTATTACATCGAACTTTTCTCATATTAAAGTTAAAGTAGATCCTCGAAAAAGAAAAAAAAAAAAAAAATACAAAGCTAAAGTAGATCCACATGAATCAGATAATCCATATTAGTCCGCTAAATTATTTTGACATATTATTGTAAAATGTTTGTCGGCCGAAAAATACGTCGGATTTGATAACGGCGCACAAAAACCTACTCCAGAATCTTTACGCAAAGATTTGATCCTAATTGATTCAGGAAAACACGAGCGTCGGTGTATTAGCAAAATCTTACTTGATGACCACTCAAAACAAAATATTATATATATATATATATATATATATATACATGGTAAGTTGGTAACATCGACGCACATAGTTGAGCACGCAAAATTACAATGAATTGGAATCGAGGAAAAACCCTTGGGAAAGGCAGCTTTGGCACCGTCTCCATTGCCAAAACCCGGCACACTCCCGGCGGCCCTCATACCAATCTACCGCCACTCATCGCCGTCAAATCCGCTCCTTTTCTAGAGTCCGATTCCCTTTGGAAAGAGAAGAAGTTGCTTCAAGAGTTGGAAGGCTGCCCCTTCATCGTGCGCTGCCTGGGGAAAGACGTGACCACCGAAAAGGGACAAACGCTCTACAACTTACTGCTCGAATACGCCTCCGGAGGATCTCTGGCCGATTGCATCCACAGCGGCCTTCCTGAGAAAATCGTGAGCCACTGCACCAGATCCATACTATCGGCCCTCGTCCACATCCACAGCCTCGGCTACGTCCACTCGGACGTCAAGCCGCAAAACGTGTTGGTTTTCGGTAGCAATTACGAGGCCGTGAAGCTGGCCGACTTCGGGTGCTGCAAGAGATGGAAATTACAAGAAGAAGAAGAAGAGAAGTGCGGCTTTCGGGGAACTCTTGCGTACGCTGCACCCGAGTCAGTACACAGGCACAAGTACTTGCCGGAGTCGGATATTTGGGCATTGGGATGTACTGTTGTTCACATGTTGACGGGTAGACAACCGTGGTTGCCCGAAAAGGAAAAGGATGTTATGTTCGAGATTGATTGTAGGGATGAGATTCTCGAGATTTCGCACAACATTAAGGTTTCGAGAGTGGCCAAGGATTTTCTCAACAAGTGTTTGATTAAGGACCCGATGGTCAGATGGAAGGCCGATATGCTTCTAAATCACCCTTTTCTTCACAAAGTTGACGATCATTCCCCAAAAGGCCGCCACAGATTGTCTCACCGGATTTACTCATTGGTGCCGCATTGTTTTCAAGTTGAGGCCTGTGGATGAACGTTTTTAGATAGATCATGGTGGAATATATGTATTGTTCGTGTTACACCCTATACATATCTTCATATGTAAATTAGCGTATTATATGAGACGGGGAAATTTTTTATATTCTTCATAGTGATAATGGTGCTTTATAGTATTTCAACAAAACAAAAAATAAAATCTAGCCACTTTTCTAAGAAAAATGAAATATAGCCATCTGGGCATGTGAGAAGACATGATTGCCCTTAGACACCATTTTATCAACTTTTTCCCATTTTCATTTTTTTCACCATTTTCCCCCTTCTTTTTCACTTCATTTCCCGGCCCTCAATTTTCACTTCATTTCCCCGCTGTCATTCACGGCGAATCTCTCATTCTCGCCAGGTACGGTTCACGGTACTCTCTCTCTCTCTCTCTCTCTCTCTGTGTACTGGTTAGGCCTGATTAGTTTTCTTCAATCTCTCATTCTCGCCAAGTAGGGTTCGAAGCTTTCTTCTCCGATTTCATCTCATTTTGAAGCTTTTCATCTCCGGAGATTTCAAGGTTCGAAGCTTTTCATCTCTGGCGATTTGAAGGTTCGAAGCTTTCTTCGTTTTCGAAGCTCCGGCGATTTGAAGGTTCGAAGTTTTCATCTCTCTCTCATTTTTTTTTCACCTTTTTTCTCCAGCGACTGAAGGTTCTTTTTTGTAATTTTTTGTGTGTTATTTAGGCGATTTTTGGGGTTGTGCATTTTTAGGGTATTATTTTCAATTTGTATTATTTGTGTGTCTATGTGTTGTTCTTGAAGTTTTGTTCCTTTTTTTTTTTATTTTTTTCCTTTCTTGAATTATGTGTTGTTGGATCTGAATGGTAAAAAAATATGAGTTTTTGTGGTTGTGTTTTGAATGGGCAAAGAGTTTTAAAGTTAATTATCATGAAAAGACCACATTATATGACAAATATTATCATTGGATTGAAGTTGTATTATCGTACAACTTGTAGCTACCCTTACCCTATACCCCTATGGACTTTATTGGCTAGATTAATAATATGTTTTTCATTGAACTTTCTTGTTTTGTCCCTGTGCATCATACATTTCTAGTCTTCATTAGCTTTTTTGAGTGTATTGTGTGGTGAAGTGCAGTAAATTTTATTAAATAGCAAATCGTAGGTTACAAATCTTAAAATAGCTATACAAATCTCTGCCATTCCCATTTGTCTGTCATTTTCATTTGTTCTTTCAAGTTTTAGTTTATTGCTATTCACTGGTTGAATCATCCTGTAGCAAGTGTTGAGGCTAAGGAAATGAAAAACTGGGATGATTTTGAGGCTTGATCTATACTCGTTTGCATTGTGTTGCTGTGATATATTCATACCTATAAATTGCTATTTTATATGCTTTTTAGTGTTTAAATTCAGAGGTTATTGCTCAGCTATCTTGGCCTTGAATTATTTGAAAAAATTGAGAAAATTAGTTATAGAATGAGAAAGAGGGAAATGAAGAACATGTTATGTTGTGTTTTGAACCCTAAATTGCTTGAGTTGTGTTGTTGTTGTACCTGTTATGTGTTTCCATTGCTGAATCTATGTGTTTATTTGAGTTTAAAATTCAGTACTTAGGGCCTTGTTAGTTGGTCTTGAATTCATGAGAAAATGCGAAAGAAAAGGGAGCCTTAAGCTTTGTCCTTAGGTGTTTAAATCCTAAGTGATTGGGGTCTTTTGAACCTAGTATAATGAGTTTTTATGTCCCTGAAAGTTGGCTGGTTCGAGCCAAAAAAANAAAAAAAAAAAAAAATGATTAGAGAGTTTCTTGTTTTTAGAATGGATGTAAATGAGACTTTTTGAAGTGTAGTGTGAATTCTTAAATGTACCCTTTTTAGGATATTTTTCTTCAAATTGGCGGGACCGAATAGGATGCTGAAGAACACGTCGGGGATGGTGCCGACACAAGTTTCATACAATCGGATTGGATGGAAACAATTTTCAATTAATTGACATCAATTCATGTCGGTTAGATAAAATTGATGCTCGTTTGGATTCATTGGCCACTACTCGATCCATGGGACCCGACGTTCCCTCTTCATCCACTCATCCATAGTGAAAGTTCTTCTGTTTCTTCTTCATTGTTTTGGACTGTAAAATACTATGACAATTTATCTTTTGGATTCATCTTTTGGACTGTTAGTTTTTGTTTCTTTTGATTGTTTTGATGGTTATGAAACATGTGAAACATCATCCAGGAGTGACAAATTTACTGTTAGTGTTTGTTTCTTTTCATTCATGTTTGAAGTTCAAATAACCATATCTCAGCCGGTTGACATGTCAACTCCGATTGAGAAAAATTTTCTGAAGAGTCAACTGCGGTTGGCCGAATGGGTACATCAACCGTGGCTCGGCTCGAAGTTCAACCGCGGATCAAATTTTTCATTCATGTTTGAAGTTCAAATTACCATCTCACAGCCGGTTGACATGTCAACTGCGGTTGGCCGAAAGGGTACATCAACCGCGGCTCAAAAGTCAACCGCTGCTCACATTGTTATTTTGGTTTTTTTTTTTTTTATAATTTCCAAAATGGATGTTCGGTTTAATGCCGGGACAAAAATATGACAAACAACACAAATAAATTTATCCATACAAGTCATTCATACAAATAACATTCATTTACGATCAATAAAAAACAACAAATAAATAAAAAAAATCAAAACAACTAGGAAATGTTTTGAGACACTTGTTCCTACGATGGCAGACACATTTCGCAGATCTGCTTCACAAGAGATACGTCATTTCTCCACCTCTCCGTTATCAGCGGCCACTAAAAAGTGAAATCGGTAGTCGTACATATTTCTATCTCCACGAACAATGTCATGAACTCTATTTATGAAAGCTTCATATGATGAGGTCCTAAGACAGAAAAAATTCATCTCTGTCTCACCATTTTTATAGACATTCTCATCCCAAAAGCCACTGTGAGCAATTCGCACTTTACCAACATCCATCTTAAAAAAATAAATAAATAAAAAACATAATCTTAGTACAAATACTTTCTTCAACTTTTTTTTTACCTTCAAATGTGTTTGGACAAACATATATGAATACAAGACACAGTTTCTTGAAACAAGAAGAAATTTATTCTACAATAAACAATTTTTTCTTGTTAATTGAGCAAGAAACATGTTTCTTCTTGTTCAAGAAATGAGTTTCTTGAGCAGAAATAGGTTTCTGCTCAAGAAACCTGTTTCTTGCGAAACAGGTTTCTTGAGCAAGAAACCTGTTGCTAACTCAAGAATCCCGTTTCTTGAGCAAGAAAGCAAGAAACTTGTTTCTTGAGCAAGAAACCTATTTCTTGAGCATCAAACAGGTTCAAACAGGTTTCTTGCTTAAGAAACTGCGTGTTGAACAAGAAGAAATTGTTTCTTGTCTTTTCTTGTTCAAGAAACTATTTTTTGTTCAATAAATTGTTTATTCTTCAACAAACGATTACTTTAACTCCTAAAACTCCAAAAAACGGCTCAAAAATCTGTACAACAAAAGTAATGAACTCCAAAACACAACCCCTCTTTTTCAAGCACAAAAACACGAATTTTTAAACTCTAACAAAATATTACTTCAACAAAATAAAATGGTGCAAGACAAATCAATAAAGTTGGGAACAAAAACATAAATGTTTTAAAGAAATTTTTTATTTAACATAATAAAAAAAACAAAATTAAGTTTAGGTCAATGTACCTTTTTTCTTCTCAAAAAGGGATTCACTTGGTGGTGATGGAGATGATTTTTGGTCGAGATGATTCACTTAAGTGAAATTCGGGAAGATGAGTAATTTTTTTTTTTTTTTGAA